GTAGAGCTGAGCTCTGTAGGGTTTTCTTGGCTGTTATCTTTACAGACGAAGATTGCCAGACCTTTCCTTTTCCTTCCTGGCTCTCCTGCATGGATTTGAACCACCAACCTTTCAGTTAGTAGCAAAGAGCAAACCTTTTGCACCAATGAGGTACTTTCTTCAAGAGGGATCCAAAACCTGTTGCCATTGCATCAGTTCTGACTCAGAGCAACCTTATAGGCAGAGCAGAACTGCCTCATAGGATTTTCAAGTCTATAATCATTATTGAATATTGATTCAATGTTATGAAAAATACTGAATGTACCATGGACTGTCAGAAGAACAAACAAATTGGTCTTGGAAGAAGTATAGCCAGAATGCTTCTTAAAACGTGGTTGGTAAGACTTAGCCTTACTTGCTTTGGACACATTATCAGGAGGAATCAGTCCCTGGAGAAGGACATCATGCTTGGTAAAGTAGAGGGTCAATGAAAAAGAGGAAGACCCTCAAAGATGTGGATTGACACAAAGACTGCAACAGTGGGCTCAAAATAGCAACGATTGTGAGGATGGTGCAGGATGGGGTAGTCTTTTGTTCTGTTGTACATGGGTCACTATGAGTTATAACTTGACAGCATATAACAGCAACAATCTTTATGGAAGCAGACTGCCACATCTTTCTTCTGTGGAGTAGCTGGTGGATTTGAACCACTGACCTTTCAGTTAGCATCTGAATGTTTAACCACTGTGCCACCAAGGCTTCTTCAAGAGGGATAAACCCCAGGTATTAGAGGACTACAAATCAAGTGCTAATGAGGAACCTGTACATAGACCAACGAGCTGTTGTTCGAACAGAATAAGGGGATACTGTATTAGGGTTGTGCCCTTTCACCATACTTGTTCAATCTTTATGCTGAGCAAATAATCTAAGTAGCTGGAATATGCGAAGAGGAAAGTGGCTTCAGAATTGGTGGAAGACTCATTAACAACCTACGATATGCAGTTAACACAGCCTTGCTTGTTGAAAGTGAAGATGACTTTAAGCACTTATTGATGAAGATGAACGTTAAGTAGAAGCTCAGCGAAACAGGGGAAGATCCCCACCAGGATGGAATGAGACAGTGGCTGTGAAGATGGGTTAGAGCACAGCAAGGACTGCTAAGATGGTGCAAGAAGGGGCAGTGATTCATTCTTTTGCACATAGGGTAGCTGTGAGTCAGTCAGAGCCAACCTGATGGGACCTGACAATAACAACAAGTATCTGTGAGGTTCTGACTCGGTACTAAGCTTACGGATAAAAATGGGAATATAACTGAAGAACTGAGCATCCTCTAATAAAATGTAGAAGAATTCCTTAGTCATCGGAGCACATGTTAATCTTGCTTAAGTTTTACCCTGGCTTTTGTTATTTTGTGAGATGAAATACACTACACCTAGAAAACATTTTTACCTTTGACCTTTCAAGGAAGTGAATGTCTTCTATTTAGGAGTGGATATGCAGCTCAGCTTGCGCTATCGAAGGAGTTGGTGCACTAACACTCCTGTTTTATATATGCCCACTCACACTCATTTGTTATTATTTCTTGAAATGCTTTGTGACTGACTCGGAGTTAGTAAGTACTAGTGACAATTGGTCCAAATTTTAAATCTCAAAATTTAAACCTAGGGAGATTAGTAAGGAAGGAGACGTTATACCTTGTGTGCTCTGTGCTCTTTGTAAGGAATGATAGAAACCTATAAGCAGATAGATGATCAGACTGTAACTGATTGTCCCTCCTCAGAGTCTCATAGTTTGATATCTCTGAGCTTTCCTTTCTAATAGAAATGCTATTCATAATTTCAAAAGAATGCACAGCATACCACCTTTGTAACTTGGTATTTGTGGACTGATGCAGGATGTATAGTGACAAGGAAGCATACACAAAGATTTGCCTCAGTGACAGCTGCACCAAATGCCTTGCTGGGGTTGTGGACATGTGATAGAGAATTTTTGTTTGTTTGTTTTACGTTCTTATAGAGAAAAACTGATACAGATATAAAGTTTTCTTTAAAGAAATCTGTAGAACAAAACTAAAACCACTGCAGTTTTCACATAATGCTCTCTGATGTAGACTTTTAGAAATGGCCGAACTTCCTCAGGTTCCATTTCAAGTGTGGTGATTACTGACATAATAATGGGATTGTCGCACAATGTAGGCCTCAGTTTTAGAATTATTTTGAATCTCTAGCACAGATGCAAAACAAACTTCCATCAAAGGGAGTAATGCATTCATTTGAAAGGTGATTTTTAAAAGGTGAATGTAGAAGGGGTTTTTTGGATAGTCATGTTACTTTGGTATTTCTTATTCTGTTGTTTATGGGTGATTTTACAAAGACGTTTTAGAACCAGGAATTGTGGTTTTATGCTCAATTATGACCTCTTTTATTTACATTGATCGAGACCTTGGCTAGCCATACTTTCTCTTCATTTTTGCTTCTTGTGCAGTTAACCCCTCATTATACCTTATTTTCAGACTGTCTCTACTAATAGGGCCGAGAGTGGTCAGGGAATGCTTACAATGTCCAGATTTTTCATATTAGAGCTAAGGACACAGTCGATGTGTAGCTGGCATGGGCAGTGGGTAAAAAGACAAGACTATGCCACGTTGGACTCATAAAATCTACATACGAGGCAAGTTTCCATCGTTCTAGGGAGGGTGACAGCTTGAATGTAGCAGATAAACAACCATTATTTTGAGTGTTAAAATTGTTATGACAAATGGTCTTCCTTCTGTCAACACGATGCCTTGAGTTCTGAAAATTATATTTAATTTTTCTTCTTTTAACCTCTCCCATGGCATGACTTACTGCTGTGTTTCCTAAACATTCCCACCAGCACAGGAGAGAGTCAGTGATCAGGTGTGTAGGCACAGCCCAAAGCATCCCATCAAATTTTCAAGTGTCAAGTTTTATCTTAAACACTATAAACCAAAGCCAAACTCGCTGCCATTGAGTTGGATCCGACTCATAGCAACCACTTCTTGGGTTTCCGTGGCACTATCACCATGAAAGTAGATTGCCCAGTCTTCCTTCTGAGGAGTGGCTGGTGGGTTTGAACCTCAGCCTTCTGGTTAGCAGTCAAATGCCTTAGACACTATGCCACCAGAGCTCCCTTAAACACTATAAACATTTTGTATTCTGTTTTGTCCTTGTTTGAATATATAAATAAGGTATATATTTGGTAAATCTTAAATTACATTTGATAGACACACTTATTTCATGGTAGATGTGTATATTCCATGTCTGATTCTATAACTTACTTCCTTTGGCACATAAGCTCATAGTAACTAACTGACTTTTGCGTATTGTGATTTTTGACCGTGAACTCATGTTCCCTTAAATGTTATCTGTGGGATTTCTCTGAGGCCTGGTTTTTAGTACTTTCTTCTAGAGATGATTTGTGTTTGCTTCTGTCAGGTGTCTGGGATGACTTTAAATTGAATATTGTATTTTTTGAGTCCTATATATCGTGTGAATTCCTTTCCCAGTACCTTATAAGTTCAAGCTCCTGGTTTGGAGTTTGCTTCCCCTGTCCCCCTTTTCTCTCCCTGAGTCATCCAGGCTCAAATCTATAATTTTGAGACCAGGCAAGTCTCCATTTCTTTCTACTTTTTCCTTCTATACCCCTGAAAATGCCACTATTGGGGAGTTCCAAATCCATAAGGAGGATCTTTGACCAACTCCCATCTACATTTGGCCAAGTTTTGTCTCCTGCCTCTGTGTACCTGGTTACTTGGCCCCTATCCTTCTTAAACTAACTCGAAATGCTCACCAGAGTTAGCAGATGTCACCAAGGCAAAAACAAGGGTCGCTGACTTCTTGGAAATATACTTTCTCATAGATTTTGGTCTCCAGAAAATTTCCTTTCCTTGTTTTTCCATAAGCATATGCATTTGAAAATAATATTAAATTATTTTTTTGGCATTTAGAAGAAATTGGAGGAGATCTCTAGTTATCTAGCCTCTTGGAAACAGTAAATTCTTGAATGCCTGCTGTGTATCAGTCAGGCATAATACTAACCTTGTTCCGGAAAGCCTAACTATCCTTTTCATTGAAAAAAATGGGATCTTCTCAACTCTCCTCACTCTTTGTTTAGATCTTCAGGTGATAGCTACCTCATGGTGACTGAAAATCGTGGAATCTCTGTGTTTTCATCCATACAATAATGATATTGGACTGGCTGATCACTAATAATTCTTCCAGCTCTAACCTTCTTTAACTCCTGAACCACTAAAAACATGTTTTCTGCTTTTATGCTTAGGTTGGATGGTGTAAATGGTTAACACGCCTGGCTGCAAACCGAAAGTTTGACATTTGGGTCCACCTAGGAGTGTCTTGCAAGAAAGTCCTAGTGATCAGTAGTCAGTTTCTGAGTTATGGACAACCTGTAGTTATGAACAAACCTCCATAAAACCATTATATTAAAAATTTAAGGTACATATAATGGCCCATAATAACAAATGGGCACTACTTTGTGACATATATCAAAGCATTATTATTATTATTACTTTATTATTATATTAAAGATGCTTTAGTGGATCTGGTAGTGTTTTTTTTATGTGTTTCATGTGTAGAAAAGTACTAAGACAAACATTTGATTAACTGATGGTAGATACAAACTCTACCTAATTGTTCCAACTTACGTACAAATTTGTATTCAAGGTAGACTTAGGAACTGAACTCATTCTTAATCTGGGGACTGCCTGTACTTCCAAGATGTCACCATCGGAAAACACTACAGAGCACAGTTCTGTTCTGACACACGTGGGTCACCATGAGTCAGAATTGACTTGCAGCAGCTCCATAACACAGGTTTAATACTTCCAATGATTCAGCTGAAGTCACCAACCCAGTTGCCCATGCCTTCTTCCGGGAAATTGTTCTTTCTCTTTTTGTCCTGTTTTGCCAGTCAGTCTGTATTTCCTGGTGTTTGGGTCTCACACAGCCAACATGGAATAAATGCATTCTGTGTTCCTCTCACAGGTCGCTTCTCTTGGAGTCACTACCTTCACCTTATGTGCTCTGTGTATAGACCGCTTCCGGGCTGCCACGAACGTACAGATGTACTACGAAATGATTGAAAACTGTTCTTCAACCACTGCCAAACTTGCTGTTATATGGGTTGGGGCACTCCTGCTAGCCCTTCCAGAAGTTGTTCTCCGCCAGCTGAGCAAGGAGGATTTGGGCTTTAGTGGCCGAGCTCCTGCAGAACGATGCATTATAAAGGTCTCTCCCGATTTACCGGACACCATCTATGTTTTAGCCCTCACCTATGACAGTGCGAGACTGTGGTGGTATTTTGGCTGCTACTTCTGTTTGCCCACACTTTTCACCATCACCTGCTCTCTAGTGACTGCAAGGAAAATTCGCAAAGCAGAGAAGGCCTGCACACGAGGGAACAAGCGACAGATTCAGCTAGAAAGCCAAATGAACTGTACCGTAGTGGCTTTGACCATTTTGTATGGATTTTGCATCATTCCTGAAAATATCTGCAACATAGTCACTGCCTACATGGCTACAGGAGTTTCACAGCAGACAATGGACCTTCTGAATATCATCAGCCAGTTTCTTTTGTTCTTTAAGTCTTGCGTCACCCCAGTCCTCCTTTTCTGTCTTTGCAAACCCTTCAGTCGGGCCTTCATGGAGTGTTGCTGCTGCTGCTGTGACGAGTGCATTCAGAAGGCCTCCACAGTGACCAGTGATGACAATGACAATGAATATACCACAGAACTCGAGCTCTCACCCTTCAGTACCATACGTCGTGAAATGTCCACTTTTGCATCTGTTGGAACTCACTGCTGAAGGACAGCATTTGCTTTGGTTAGATTTGTTATTTGTTTGAGTTTAGTATCCTGTGAACATTTTCACTTCATATTTTTCCTTCCTGGGAAAAAAATACAGTAAAACTTAACTACTGTAGCACTGGTTTTGCAAATTAATATTTGTGCTTTTAAAAAATGTTTATATTGAGTTATTTAAGAAGAGCAAGGAGGCCGATAAGTTTAGATAATTTTATCGGATATGGTGCTAATATTTTATTCGAGAGAAGTTACTGCACCTTAACTTAATTAATGGCTAGTTTTCCTTCTTTTTAAAATGTAATCATTGTATATCTCTTACAGCCCTGTGATTTTGCAGGTTATTTTATGTTTGAGTCGTGATTGGAACTATATTGTATATGGTATGGTGACATGATTTGTAGTTAGAACCATTCACAAAGTAGCACCAAATAAATGACACTTTATTCTTTAATGTCATTGTCAATCTGCTTTTAACCAAGATTCAATAAATTTTTTAATTGCCTTAAAGACACAATTACTGGTCCTATGCACAATTTAAAATTGGCCTTATTGTTTGATAACTCCACTTTCCTTTAAGGCAGGTAATCACTATGTTATAACAGAGGTTTTCCTAATAGTACTATTTTATATGCATGATTCATGAAACTATATTGTATGTTAAAATAAAACTGTATTTTTAATATACAGATATAGATGTAACTTACTTCCAAATATTTATCAAATATGACCACATAACAGAGTACCCCAAAACCAAACCCGTCACTGTCAAATCGATTCCAACTCATAGTGTCAAGTCAATTCCGACACACAGTGATCCTGTGGGACAGAGTACAACTGTCCCATAGGGTTTCCAAGGCTGCAAATCTTTACAGAAGCAGACTGCTACATCTTCCTCCCATGGAGCGGCTGGTGGTTTTGAACTGCTGATCCTTCGACTGGCAGATGAGCACTTTTACCACTGCACCACCAGGGCTCTTTTAAATAGAAAAGTAAGAAGAAATTATCATTTTTTGGGTTTTTTTTTCCCCCTAATACTCACTTCGGAACTAGCATATAGAGCTTCAGAGTTTCCCATAAGGAACGATGGACAGAATCAAGGACTATAAAACAATGCGCTTGTCATCTGATTTCCTCTGTGTCCTTTGAAGCTCGGTGAATCCTAGCTGAAGCACTCTGCATTCTAATTTTTCTCCTTTTCAAAAATGAACGTGATAAATCTTTATGTCTTAATTTCTTCAAGCAGAATGAAAATACAATAGGGACTCGAGTAACAACTTCTTTTAAATCTACCTTGGTTGACCAGTAACCAGTTGCCATTGAGTTAATTCCAATTCATGGCAAACCCATGTGTTTCTGGGTAGAACTGCACTCCATAAGGTATTTAAGGCTGTAGCCTTTCAGAAACAGATTGTCAGACCTTTCTTCCAAGTTGCCTCTGGGTGAGTTTGAACCACTAACCTTTCAGTTAGTAGTCCAGCACTTAACTGTTTGCACTACCCAGGAACTCTTATGGGTCTTGGGTAAAACCCTGAAATATTTAAATACTGCCTTTAACATGACATTTCATAAACTGCCAATAAAAAAACCTAACACCATCTTTTTGAATTATTAGAATCCCCTCTCTTACTTCTTAAGGAGTTCAAGTTGAAACAAACTGTGTAGGGTCTCTTCATGGGACAAGTGTGTAACTCAGGTGGCAGAGATGGTGGCCTAGGGACACAATGATATTTAAAAGCTAACAAAGAATATGTGTGGTGGTATGTCTTCAGAAAGCTTGTGTTACAAGGGAGCCCAGTTTTTTGACTGGGACCTGCCCTATGTTTATTCTGTCATTTTCTATATTATTTAGTATAAACAAGGTAACTTCTTTCTTCCAGACTATAGCATGATGTTATTTAAAACCACTAAACATTAATACTAGAAAAATGAAAAATCACTTGACCCAAGCTATTCATCTTCCAGATGAAACCCAGATTAAGTGATAGTGTCACTAAGTGACAGTGCCCAGACTATCTCCTTTTTCCCAGTTTGATACTCTGAAAGAGATTTTTTTTTTTTTTTTTTTCCAGTTCTCTGTGTTCTAAGGGATTTGAGGGAGTTTAAAAACAAGGCATTATTGTCTTCTTGCAGATGCCTGTAATAGATTTTTG